CCGAGTTTTGACGCAGAGAATGTTTTTGGATGGATATAGAAGAGAGGGAGAGAAAAGAGCGGGGAGGGGGGGGAGGGGGAGGGGAGCTTCTTTGATTGAAACGCTCGTCGTTTCCCCGTTTCTTGTGTTCGCGGGCCGTATGTGGCTGTGTGTGGTATGGTATGGTTCGTGTAGTTTCTAGAATACGGTGAGAATGGAAGCTTGACTGTGTGATGCCATTGACCTTTTCTTGTCACTTCCCGAAGTGAATACACTATACGTGGCTCTCTCTATTGAACAAAATGCGAGACCGAAGATTACTTGATCACATCTTGCGAGCTCTCGGGTTATTCTCCTGGGGCCCGTTATGAGGACAGTATGTGCGCGTAGACAGGGAGCCGTGGGATGGCATATCTAGAGGCGGCTTACGCACGACAACGAAACACTTTCAAGATGTTGAGAGTAAACGATAAAAATCATGTTTCGTACGAATGCCACCTAGAATGATGAGGAAAACCTGGTCCCACAAAAAAAGCCCTCTTGTCTGAGCTCTAGAACGTCTCTTCATGCCACATGTCCAACATGGTTAGGAAAAGTCTCGCATCGCTTCCGCTTCTCCGCCCTCTTCCGCGCCCCCCAGACTGGAAGGTCGCTCGGAAGGACGTCTACAAAGCCACCAAGATCTCTAATCACAAGGGATATCAAGCGGATCTGCTCCTCACAGCTCCTCCGTCCTCCACTTGTCCTGCGTGCTCTGCAAGGCGGAGTTCTCCCTGTACGAACCCCAGGAGCTCTTGAGCGCGACGGCCTTGAAGTCAAAGGTGATGCCCTGGTCGTTGGTTCCCGTGCCGCGGGAGAGGACGATGCCGTCGAGGGGCTTGTCGGTGAAGTAGAGCATGGTGCCAGCCTCGACGCCACCGTTGACGTAGACCTCGAGGACGGAGCGGTCGAGAATGCCGTGCAGCTGAAACTCGACGTTGCCGCTGGAGCCCTCGCTCGAGGCAGCCTCGAGGGCCTGGACGTTGGAGACGCCAAAAGTGCCGGACCTATCCCACACTGCGCTGGCGCGACCAATGTTGAGGCTGGCGGTGGGTGCCCCGCTGTTGGATGTGCCAGTGAAGTCAAAACCGAGGGAGACTTGCTCCGTGCCGTTGGACTGAGAGCCCTGGAAAGCCAGCTGAGCCGAGGCCGTCGAGCCTTCTTGGAGGAGAGACTTGGCCATCTTGACGGTCAAGGTCCACTCTACGGCCGGGTTGTAGTCGCGGATGACGGCGCTGCTGCCCTGAATGCCCGATACGTCCTTCTCGTCAAGAATGGGGTTCCAGCCGGACGTCGTGCTCGCGAGCTTGGACAGGTCGCCGGCCGGCGCTGACATGAGTCGGTTGGTGTTGGAGTCCAGCCAGTGGCGGCGCACACCACCCATGCAGTGACGCCATCCCTCTTGGTCGGTCGGCGTGCAGCACCCATAGAGCGTAGCGTCGACCGCCCATGAGACGGAGTATGCATCTTGGTTGGCGTCGTTGAGATTCTGGAAATGGAAGAAGGCGGTGGCGTACTTATCAGGGCCAAAGTCAAAGTCGTAGATGGAGAAGGTGTCCTGGCGCGAGAAGATTCCTCTCCGCGAGCCGAGGCTGGCGGGCACATCTGGGGTGAAGGTGGTGCCGTCCCACTCGCCGGTGATGTACTTGACTGCAGCACCGCCAGTCGGGCCGCCGCCTCCCAGGCTGAGAGTCAGAACCCATTTGGCGCCCACGATGCTTCCAGACTTGTCCTTGCGGGGGATCTGGAGGAATTGGGGGCACTCAATGAGGCCAATGTTGCGCTGAGGATTCCAGATGGATGACTGCGTCCAGTTGACTAAGTTGGTGGAGGTGTAGAAGGCGACTTCACTCTCGAGGGAAAGGACCATGACCCAGGTGTTGGTCTCATGGTGGAACGAGGGCTTGGGGTCGCGGAATCCGTGTCTGTTGAGCGAAATGATCGGGTTGTTCTCGTACTGGTTGAAAGTCTCGCCGCCATCGTATGACCATGCAAGATGCTGGGATTCCTGATCAGGCTCCCATGAGGTATAGTAGGCAATGATGTTGTCCTTTCCGCTTGTCTTGTCAGACGGGAAGAAGCCAGACGTGTTATTCTTGTCGACGACGACGCTTCCTGACCAGATGGAGCCATCGCGCGCAGTGGCGGGAATGGCAACAGGATGGTCAACCCAATTGTAGAATTCGGTGGCCGTCGTGTGGCCCCAGTTCTTCACGCCATCGCCCGCGACGTTGTCGGCATCTGAGTCAAAATAGTCAGCGGTCAAGTTCTGAAGATGTTTAAAACATTAAAGCCAGGCCAAGCTTGGCATAGTCTAATCGAAGCAGTGACACATGGCATGCCAGATTGAGATGCATCGCAGGGAGAAGAACATGTAATTACGGCAAGGTAGGTAGGGTAGGGAGAGCATGCGGTGTGTCTCATTCCGCGCCAAAATGCGGGGGTGGAATTGCAACGCTCATCATCGCGCATGTGATGTTTCCGTCTTTGGCAGAGGCGCAACCCTCACGCCAACGGGAACTAGCACGTGTGCAGAATGCAGATCCAATGAAACGGGCAGAATGGCGCGCCATTGACATTGCACAAGGCAAACATTGGTAACCGCTCGCCCGGAACCTGCGCAATGTGTTGCACAACTCAAATTCGGTAACCGCGGCTTTGGGAGGTGTTTCCAGCACGGTACTTTGGGTTTGGGGAGTACGGGAATAGGTGGATTGAGATGGGTAGGGGAAAAGGCGGCAATGGAAAAGACTCACATTGGTAGTACATGTGCCAGACACCGTCCGAGTCGACAAAGAGGCCGTTTGGGTCATTAAGCCATTCGGCGGGTGGTGAGAAGTGAATTTGGGGCCGCCAGCGGCCGGATCTGTCGGCTGCTTGTCTCGCCATAATTGCTGCTGGAGATTCGGGGTCTATTGAGCGTTTGAGGTCTGATGAGAAATGAGCGCGTTCTGCATCGGAGAAGAAGCCGGGCAGAGCGTATGACGGTGCTGCGAGCAGTGTCGACAGAAGCGATGTGTAGAAGAGATGCTGCCTCATGGTTGCGAGAGTTCGGCTCCCCGGTCCTTAAGAGAGAACCACCTGGGCAGTGTCAAGGTTTCGGCCAAACGGTGCGGCGGCGGGTAAGGGGGTGCTGTTCTCTGATCGACAGACTTCGGATGGGGGTGAGTAGCGCAGCGTGTCAGCTTAAAGGTAGAGTGACTTTAGGACGAAGCTTGTGTAAAGGTAATTCAATGAACTGTAAGTCTGAGGCACAAAAAGGCAAGGTAGTTCAGCTGAGAGGGAACACCAAGAAGTCCGGGGGTGAGACAATATGGGGGAAGAGAGAGAAGGTATAGTTCTTCGTTCACGAACGAGCTAGAGAAGAGCGGGAAAAGAAATGACGGATCTGGAGCGAGGACAGCGGGTATTTAATCACGAAGAAGCAAACGAAGGTGAATCAAACCTCGGGAGGTGTCTCTCACAACATGCAGTAGGTAGCCCACAGCCAAACAGCAAGCAGTAGACAGGAAAAAAAGGAAGAAAAAAAAACGGCAACGGCGAACTAGTCGCAGTGACATTGGCTTAGCTTGGCCTCCGCTGGCTGAGTAGCGGTTGCACCAGCGTCGGGGCAAGTCAATGGCAGGCCGCAGCGGCAGACTGACGAACAGGATGTCCAGTGCCATCATCTCAACTGGGCTGCTTGCTGCCAAAGAACAGAGGGGTACTTCGTACTTCCCACGAACGGAATCATGGCACTGGACGCCAAGGACACAATGGGGAAGGGGCCATCGCACACCATGCGTCCAAGACTGGTCTCATGACTCTCTGTCTGGTTGGCAGGTGGCTGGCTCTCGTGGCCTCCTTTTTTCTGCACTCGTTCGCAAACCACGGCTTACACCCCGCGCCAAGTTGGCCCATCTCCAACTTTTTTTTTCCTTCCAGAAAGTTGGGGTAAGGTAGCCCTCAGGGGGATCTGTGCCCCCCCAACTTGCGGTAAACAACACTAGATTGTGTTACCATAAAAGGGAGTGTGCGTGAGAGACAGAGAAGGGAGAACAGGCGTGGTGTTAGGTGAACCACCAGCTGATTGATTGCGAATTCAACTTCAACCCCGCAAAAACAGCTATTCCAAAGCGGCCGGCGGTACGGATAGGGACCGGGACTGCATCGTATGCCCCGGACTGGCAAAGAGGGCCCGATCCCGTCCCTACTTTCCCCGGATTTCCATTGGTCAGGTGGCCAGGATTTGCGATGCTTGCATTGTTGAAGGCGGTCTTGCGTTGGGTTGATCAACTTGGATTATTGTGACGTTCTGCAGCGATTTTCCATGATGGAACCATGTATCTGGGGAACGGATGCGGGGGTTGATTGTTTACTGCCTTTCGACGGGGACAATGCGCTCAGTTTTCTCAATGTTCCATCAAGAAACAACAATAGAGGAAGAAAACAATGACCATGTGAGCGACCTAATCTTGGCTCTCCGAAGTAACGTCGGTGAAGCTGAAGTCATTGAATGGCATGTGGATGAGACAGAAAGACAATGACCGAGGAAGGTGTTGATGAGGGGGAACTGGCAAACAGGAATCGCTTTCCTCCGGGCACCTCAGTGTTCGAGACGCGCGCGGGGCTCAAAAAGTGGGTAGCCTCTGCCCCTCATCAGGTAAGCATTCGTATTACCTAAGTTAAGTTGTCAAGGGAGGACATTGAAACAAAGAAGGGAAACTGCCCCTCATTCACGCCGGGAAAGAACAATGTTTGGCATGGTCACAGGCCAAGGCGGAAAGGAAAATCCTTTCCATTCCTCCTGCTGTTTTCCACGTTGCCCGTGAGTTTCGACGGTCATATTTTGCGGAAGCCAAGACGGACCGGAAGGCAAACTACCTGCCTGTCTGAAGTGACGCTGTTTGTCTCGGCTGCTCTTTGCTCCGATAGTTTGCCCTCATGAAAGATGGCCGCATTGTCAACATCGTTCCCAAGCGCCGTCTGACTCCTTTGCGCGCATGTCCACACCATTTCTTCAAATTCTCAACGTCACAACTGCTACACTCCAAGTACTCCGTCGTCCTACCCTGCCCTACTCGAACCATCAGACCGCCAGATCGTGAACGCCTTTTGGTGCGTATCATCTCACCTCTGCGCATCTTCCGGTCTCCCTTCTACCCAGGATATGTCCACCCTAATTTGTGGCCGAGGAACCTTTGAGAGATATCTTCTAGATCACCTGTCGACCAACAAGGTGCAACGGCGCGCGAGATCTCAGCAAGACATGGATCGACACCGAGTCAGAGACATGGCGTCCACGCGATGCCGGCCCTAACCGCAACTTTCACCTCCAAAACTGCACCACCCGAGTCATGATGCTCAAGTCACCAGCACTTGGCACTTGTTCTTACGTTACTTCAAATATGCATCGCGAGTCTCTTCAGGCCACGAGACAGCGATGATCTTTTGTCCGTCTCTCTCTCCGTCTTGCCAGCGCTGCCTACGTCAAGCACCACGGTCGTGGATGACGATATTTGCTGCCCTCATATATCACATCTTGCATCGCCACGAGACAACGACAACACTCGCATCGCATGCGATGCAACGTCCGAGCGAGACTAGCATGGCATTTGCTGATTATCATTACAAACAACGCGAGGCTTCATGGCCATGCCCACGATCGTCCCGGCCCAACTTCGGCATCCGACTGTGTTGCCAGAGTCACCGGCCCAGGAACATGTCCAGACGTTACATTAGACGCAAGACCCTTGACAGGCTGGTCTCTTGTTGGCCGCTGGGCATGGCAGTCATTGACACCTCATGTGCTCCCCCGCCTTTCTGGCTTTTGGCTCGACTACCACGTGACGAACATCCCCCTCAGCGTTTGGATTTCGGTGCATTCAAAACCTCTACTGTCGCCAGGTCCCCTTGAAAGAAAAATCATTAATAGAATCGCCAACTCTGGAACCTCGTGGAGCAGAAGAATGCAGCTGAGGCGTCTCTCCTTGCAGGGCCGCCGTCTTCGCCGCCCTGTACGATGACACGCCACGGTCAGTCTAGACTTGTTCGTTTCACTTGAATCAATGAAGCTGCTACCACAACAGCTTCATGACTCTCGTCAACATCTTCAAGCTAGCCGTTCACGCGCCCTCGGCTTTCCTCATTTGGAAGTCTTCCGGCCAAGCAGTCGTGAGGGTTCTGCTGCTGCCCGTCGTCCGCCACCATCGAGTATCGTGGTGGGGACCCGGATGCTTAGCTTCAAGACGGAGCATTAAGATGCGCACTATTGATGGGCCTGTGGTCGGAGCCGCAGATGTTGCTATCCACGCGGCCTGGCCTAGACTTGTCTGCAGTCGGAATGCTCAAGGAATACGATCCAAGTCTCGCATGTGGCGCTGTTTGCGAACATTCCCTTGATCATGATTTTTACTAACAGCGCAAAGCTCGCGATATTTCTTGCGGCTAGATCAGCTTCGCATTAACTAGCAATCATCTAGCACGCTCCGTTCTGGAGAATGTGCCGAGGAAATACTGGAGGCGGAGCCCAATGCCAAGAGGCCATCGGCGGAAGATGGCCGCGTCGAGATTATCAGATGAGCTTGATTCATGCCAGGGGCAAGGCGAAGCGAAGGACCAATGACGTGCGTATTTTGATCAGGCTAGCACTTGAGGTTGTCGCTAACGTAGGTAGTCGTTGAAGAAAAGGGTGCTCTCGGGCAGAAGCCGTTGACAGGTATGATGGGATGGAATTTCGACCATCTGGTTGAGCTGCAGACTTGTGCTCTATCAGTTTTCTCTAATCTTTGGAAAACTTACTCTTGTCTTCGGTTCCATCATCTTGGATCTTGTGTACTTGAGAGCACTTTCCGTCACGAAGGAGTATCGCTGCGGCTCCTTGGTAGTCTGGTCTCGTGCCCCCCTTCTGCCCAAAAGCTCGGTGAGAGATGACATTGAAGGATGGGTTGGGCGAATAATGGCGCGCCAAAACTAAGGTTGAGCGGAGCCCAACGTGTGAGTGCTGGGCAGATATGCAGGTTGCCCAAACCGACCAACGGCGAGCCCCAGTTCGATGTTCCGATCATCTCCAATTGGCTCATCTTCACTCCAACATGCTCCAATATGCTGCCCACCCTCCGTTATCAGAACCAATGCCAGTCTTTGCTAGCGAATGGTAGCCACTGCTAGCCTCTAAACTTTTGAGGCCCCCTCCTCTCCGATGCACCGCCCCGCCGTGTCCGCCAGATCCAGCACGTCGAATCTGCGCTCACTTTACTTAAGTATCGCCACGGCCCGGCTCCTTGTCCGTGAGTCAAAAAGGTCTCGACTCTCCGCTTTCCCCCACGTCTGCAAATCCTTGACTCCCGAGAAACCCGGAACATTCAATCCCGCCACCCCGCGCCGCCATCAGCCTCATCCCGAGAAGCTTGTCTGAATCCAGCAATCCGGACGTAACTCAATCTCCATTTATATAACCTCGACCGTTATCCCATCTCATCTCAACTACTTCCCGCTCTCGGACCTCGACAGCAATCCAAGCTAGATACTCCAAGCAAACCGCTTCTGGAGAATCATCTCAACCTCACATCACATACCTAACGGAATGGCCCGATAGCATCCCCACGCTTCAACCTCAACTGCTCGTCACAAAACACCAATACCTTTTTGGTAGCCTCCCCGGAGAATCATCTTCTATTCTGAGAGCCGCATGCGGGGAATTTCCCCGCCTACTCTTTGACTCGGTCAAAGCACCCTTACACCCCAGGGCTCGCTGTTGCCTTTGGATCTGTTAACCGCTTAACCGTCCTCCCCATTTCCGACGACCCTCCCCCCCTTTCGAACGGGTCGGTCTAAGCCTTGGTCATCGGATCAGGTCTTCAACACTTCTCACCCAGAAAAACCCTCCCACTCTGCCACGGTGGCGTTCTACCTAGACACCAATATACAACCCAACCTTGTTGACTCTTGTTATTGCGTGTTACTCGGAAACACCATTTGCTACTGCGAATCCTACTCCGACCAGACGACGACTTCCATCTTGAAACTAGATTCGGTCGACGACCCACCTATTCCACCACCTCCGATCATCGGCTTGTTGCCGTGTTCATCATGGAGATCACCTATGGCACTTGGTGTCATGGAGTGTCCACTCGACACCCCCTCCTGTTCTTCGGAAACGCTGAGCCCGACTCGAAGCCCCCTAAACCCCGGGAACGAAAATGAAAGCGATAAAGCCAGCGACAGCGGGTTCAGCAACGGCGTCGCCACGCCCGCTGCCGCCGGTATCGACATTTCGCGACTACGTTTTGAATGCCGTTGGCAAAACTGTGGCAAGGTCTTTCGCAGACCTAGTGATTTGACGTAAATCTCACCTATACTTTTCTTACTTTTGTCTCATCACCTACGAAACCCCACTCTCTCCTCTCCGTCTCTTGATCAGGAATGACGAGAGACTGGAGAATCTTTCATCAAACTTCACACATGGTGAGAAAATCTATGAAACTGACATCCAATCTCTCATCAGCAAACATGAGAGGTACCACATCAAGGAGTACCTCTGCGACGAAGCAAACTGCGACAAGGCCTTTGCGACCATGAAGGACCTGAAGCGGCACAAGAAGACGCACGAGACGCTCGACGGCGACGGCGCGGGCGGGGGCTACAGGTGCCGCGTCCCCGGTTGCCGAAAGGCGAAGACGGGACACGTGTACAACCGCCGCGACAACTTTGTCCGTCACCTGCGGACCAAGCATGTGGGCATGGAATTTGATGTCAGGGAGGAGTTTGATGTGACGTACTGAGAGATGTGCGTTGCGTGGTGGTGTGTGTGAAGAGCGGATTAGGTGCAGAATGAAAGGGTGGAAAGGGGTTTAGGAAATGGGGAGGCCGGGGATGCCTTTTTTTTGCTTCTTTTTGCGGCTTCGCAACTTCTTTTTCGGTTCGTTTTACTTGCGATGTGGGTATGATCTACGCAACCAGGCAACAGATTCAACTGTTTTTTTTTCTTTCCTTTTTCTTCTTGGTAATTTCCAAATTTGGATTCGGGACGGGCTGCTTCGTTTCACAAGCTGCTGAACCAGACAAGGAAGCGTTATAGACTTGGGAGGATATTTTCGATTTTTCATGGGATTGTTGGACATTTTACACCTTTTGTTCATGAAATCATGCGATGGACTTAGGATGGAACACAACCCGACGGCTGGTTTATGATCTGGGGCCTGAGATGAGTGGTTTTCAGTAGCGAGGAGGAATATAATGATGCACAAAACATCTGTCCTGGGCTTGACTGCGCTTTGTTTTTGCGATGTTGATGCGTGGATGGGATGTTCTTGGCTGGCCTTGACGGCCGGTTTGATTACCTATTCTAAGCGTTGGAGGGATACAGTGGCGAATCCGTAGAACAAGACAGGCAGATCATGATAAACTCAATTACCGAGCTTTACTCGCTGTGAGTTGTCAGGTTAGTATCAAGAATTCTTGAGAAGACACCGAAATGAGTAAGAACCGAAGGCCTGCCCCTCGCAGCCCCAAGACCAGTAGCATACCTTGCTCCCGGGATTCTGGGGGAACGTGACTGCAACGGAACTTTCAGATTTTTCTTGTAGACTGTCAACGAGTATCCTGACCATTTAGCAAGCATACCGGGTCCATTGAATGCCGCTGTCAAGTCTGTCTTGCTCCAGTGATTGGAGTTGAAGATCAGGCATCACTGCCTCGGGCCCTTGATATACGTGGGAGAGAAGTCCCATCCGTGCTCTGTCTCTCGCGACTACCTCCTCATATGCCCATTACAAGGTGAGCAGATACAGACGCTGGTTGACACCGAGATCATTGAAACGGAGTATGTCACTCTTTACTTTCTTCGTCTCTGGCGCGACGTATACATTGCTGGAGCACAAATTCATTCACTACTATCTTGAAAAGTCTCTATTGCAATCTTTCACCCTGACGGAAACAAGCCGAACGTGGTTCCACATACAGTCCATCAAATGAAGACTCCGTCGCATCTTGATTCGAGCCTAGATTTGATAGCCTGCTCTTTGAAGCACTGCAATAATTCCAAGGATCAATGCGGAAAGTTCGTACTATTAGATATTCAACCTTATAACACAGCCACTAAAACGGTAGCTGAACATTTTCATGAGATGAGATCAGAACTGGATGGGGAAATCAGTTTGTAACCATAGGATAATGATTCAACACTGTTTCTAATATCGTCTCTCATTAGAAAAAGCCGAAACCCTTTCGTCATCGTTAGCAAGGGCTGGGACCCGGGAGGGAGGCTGAGACATTCTCAAAGATGAAATTGAGTAAAGCGGATGGCAATACAAAAGAGCTTGAATTCGTCGATGAACCTTGCGAGCTCGTTCTCAGCAGCCGTATGTAGACTTCCAAGACAGCTTCGTCCCCAGCTGTTCGTCATGGTCAAAGCCCGCCGAATATTCCCGGAAAAGTGCAGTTCATAACAGGCCTCATCTCCTCAGAGATGATGGGTTTCCTGCAGTACCACCATAAAGGTCATTACCGGCGTGTCCCCAGGCACGTTTGAGAAGTTTGCATTTCTACTTTTCTACCGGATTACACTTCCATATATATATAGATCGCTGCTTTTGGGAGTATAAGGCGTAGTAAGACTTACTTTTATGTTAGTGTAACCCTTGCACATTAGGCCATCGTCTTATATCGCTTCCAGAAAAGCCGGCATATAAGCTATTCGATAACTCGCAACTCAATTTCGGGGATTCCGAACCAGTGTCTCCGCATCAAATGGCAACAAAGACCGTTAAGTGAAGCGTCCTCTCACGAAGCGTTGGTGGGCAACAGGTCATCAACGTGCACCATCCACCAAGGGAGGTAGAAGGATGTCCACTTCTCAAGCGTTTATGTGCGATCATTATTCAATGGAACTTTCAGAACGATTTCTGATGACAATGACCCAAGTCCACATACGTATGGTCATACTAGAGCTTTATCTCGAAAATCTTGCCGTCGTCAGTGAAACAGACCGAGGCTGAGAACCCCTGGAAGGAAAGGCGTCTGAGCA